GGGGGGGGGGGGGGGGGGGGGCTGTTAACTTACAATTTCCATTTTATCGATTGAATTTAATTTAGTCTACAGATATCAAAAACTAAGTGGTAAACATTTTACAAAAACAAACAAAAATACAAATTAATATTCTTAGCTGTATCTTTCTAGATCTAATTAAGCATTATGATGTTTGCTTGCAAAGCTCTCATTCACATAGAGTGTAAATGCCAAAAACACTTATACTTACCATTTTTGTAGAAATTTAATGTTTAAAGAAAACTGTTAAATAAATGAAATTCAGCATATAGTGCAAATTAATGTGTGTATCTTGCATGCTTGTTCAATAAATAGAACAGCAATCTTCCATAGGGAGTCATTGTTATGTAACGTTATAGTTATGACGGAATAGCATTAGCCATGGAATTTAAAGCTGGTATGAATGCCATCCAAACTGCTAGGGTAATACAGTGGCGGTGCCATAGAATGGAAAAATATCCTGTTTAACCTGACGATAGTGTACAAAAATGTACAAATATCTAGGTCCTTTGAAATGATTTTTTTTGTCAAAACACTGTGTGATTAAAAAATAAATCCCTTAAAATGTTTGTTAAAGTATTTTCTATTATTTTTCTTTAGGAGATACGATTTAGATCAATTCCAATACAAGCAATCAGAAAAAAAAAATCTCTCCTTCAATCCTCACATTTAGATTTTTTCTTTTTACAATTTTCGTTTGCCAAGTCAGTATATTTCAATACAGTTTAAAATCTCAAGCATTTACACTCCATTGGTATACCAATCATCTGACAAGACAAATTTGTGTTGGAGACATTTCTAAGACATATACTATTGATGTGCTACCGTACATGTATGTTTGATATTTGTTAGGGTCACGGCAGACATTCTTTGCCAGCCAGGTAATGCGGTATGCCGACCTGTATGCTGCCTCATTCCTCAACCTGCTCCACTACCCATTTTCGTACGCATTCCGAGCCCCGCCCATGTTGGTAAGTCAAATGTCGTGTCTAAATCACACTATACCATTAACACTACCATACACTGCATCCATTAATAAGCCATGACAAACCCATGAAAATACACCAACCCATTATTTTCTACTATGGTTTTGTGTGTGAATACCTCTTTGGTTACTGAAAAATAACCATTAATTTGCATCTAATGGGGAAACCCATTAATGTTTGCCATTAACTTGGTTGTAATGGTCATGTATTAGATTTAATGGCCATGTATTTCTGTATATTTACATTTGCATAGCATTGTCACTATATAGCCTCTTTGAAAGCTGTGTCGTTGATGGGACTTTAATTACCATGCAGCACGAGACACAATTCTTAGCGTATTAATACAACACTGACCGGAACTACAATATATAATGTAAATAAATATGACGACTGCTGAAATATCGCTGGGCATTGTGAGACTTGACAATGTCATTGTAAAGGGCCTGTTTCCAGTAATGTTAATTCTCCATAGGAGCCTGCCCCCGTATAATTTCTTATCTAGCTCAACTACTGTTTTTTTCTTTTCCGAAGAATAATTTTACACCTTTCCGACACCCAGATTTCATAATTTCAGTGAAAATGTATTTTTATAAAGTTGTCAATTTCAGCATCAAAGACATAAGTTCGTAAATAAAAGAAGGTTATCTCGAAATTGTAATTCGCAACATAGTATAAATTTCTTTTGATAAATATTTCCAAAACATCGTGTTTATTCATAAAACATAAAAAAAAAAATTCTCGGATGAAAATGCACTTGCAGAGACACAATTATGAAGAAAAATGCCATAAAATTGCAATTTTCTCCCGTTATATAGTTTTGGATGCAAATTTCCATCAGAAAATCGGATAGAGCTTTACTTGTTTCATATGTGTACCAAAAATCAGCTAATTCCATGTGGTGGAACGTTCTCATATCGCCGCCTGAATGTGGTTGTAAATTGAAAGAAAAGGGGAAATGAGTAACAACCTTGTCTGAAACCCTATTATATAGCTTATTATATACAAACTTTTATATTGAATATCAGAGCGGATATTTTCATGACAGTTTTATGATGTGTAACGACTAAATAAACAGTATCGATATAAAGATTTACACTGAGGACACCCTGATACATGAATACTGTTCTATCTCAAGTTGTCCTCTTCTGAATTTTCTGATCGTGTGGCCTTGTACATTTATCCGTATCTTCTTGTCTTTGTCTATACGTTTACGGAATCATTGACTCGACGCTAGCTATTCTTGTCTCACTTTCCTTGTTTTATTGTCCCATCTCCAAAGCGTTGTGGCTCTGTCAGGGTTGGGACCCTGACTTGTCTCACTTTCTTTGTGCCTGCCGACCACGCCACATCGAATAGATAGATTATCCATATGAAATACTTTATTTTGTTCTAAGTAATCAATCAATTCTGCGCTTCTTGGAGGTATTGAATGTGATTTATTATATTGTCTTGTTATTTTGTGTAATTAGTTGTTCGTTATTTATCACACATTTTCGCATAATTGTACCAAACTACTAAGTATTAGCTGTTTACAGCAATCATCGGTGGCTTGCTATTTTGTTACTTTATCGACGCTTCATAAACCAATCGTTATTGTTTCAAGATGGAGGGTAAATGTGTTGGAGAAGGGTGTCAAGTATACTTCAAGAAACGTAGTGGCAATAAGAACAGAAGTGCACGCAATGTAAATAGTCCACAATATAAATGGCTCCTAGATACGCTGGTGCAACAAGGATTGATGTCAGCAAAGGAACAAGCACTTATTTGCCAGAAGTGCTACATGAAGTATCTTCGGAACAAAAATCAGCCTGAACCTGAACCCGAGCAGAACCAGGAAATAGAGGAAGAAGACGACTCCCCGTCCCATATCCTGCCGTTGCTGACCCTTCATGATCTTTTGAATGGATCATCTTCACACAAAAAATGCTGTCTCTGTCTTGTTACCTTTGCAAGAAATGGAACAAAATCATCAGTCTTACCAAAACGTGCAAGACATCACCTGATCTATTCACACAAACTGTGGTGTCCCACCTCATCCCGCGTCTGCTCCATTCACCTTATTGGTAACGACTTAGATCCGTCTACAGAGGTTGTCCTTGATGGTAGAGGTTCCTTGGAATCTCAGTTACCATCAAAATCGTCCGAAATCATTAATGACCTCCTAGAGGTGTCGCACGTCCTTTCACAGAACCAGTCTGCGTTTACAATAAGCTTTTCTTCTCTTGATGACTCGGCATGCATGGCCTGGACAGGTTGGTCCAAAGATCAGTTCCTCGAAATCCACTCGCACTGTTCCCCATATCTTTCATCTGGTATATATACCAAGACTACACACGATGCTCTATTACTGTTCTGGGTAAAACTGAAAACCGACATTTCCTGGAGTCAGTGTTCTTCTCTTTTTGGAATTTCCAAGTCAAGTGTGTCCAAAACTTTCCACTCCATAGTACAGGCATTAGACACATCGATAGTCCCACAATTTCTAGGTCCGGATCACTTGACAAGAGAACAGTTGCTCGGGCACAATACTGTCTTTTCAGAAGCATTTTTTGGAGATAAAGCCACTGCCATATTAGATGGCACCTATATTTATATCCAGAAAAGCTCCGACCACAAGCTCCAGAGAATGTCCTACTGTGGCCAGAAGAAGAGAAACTATCTCAAATTCATGAGCATCGCCTTACCAGATGGCTACATTCTGGACACAGTAGGACCATTCACTGGCAGCGAAAATGATGCTACAATTACAAAAAAAGTCATGGACAAGCTAGTTACTTGGCTACAACCAGACGACAACGTTGTCGTTGACCGAGGTTTTAGAGATGTCCTACCAGTTCTCGAAGCCTCTGGCCTCAATGCTAGCATGCCGTCATACCTGAAACCCGGTCAAAGTCAACATTCTGACGTCCAAGCAAATCTTGACAGAACTATCACCAAATCGAGGTGGATTGTGGAATCCTATCATGGTCGTCTGAAACACTGGACGTTCTTCCGAACGCAATTGGTGTCTAACAGCTTTATCAATGTCATCGAGGCTTTGCTTCGAACCGTCACAGCCTGTCTGAATGGTATTAGAGGACCGATCTACCAGAGATCTCCAGAGAGAGATGCCAAAGATAGGCTAATGGCTGAACGTATGAAGGACCGTTTGACAACACCGAATGGTTTAGCTCAGAGAGTCAAGACAGATCCGGATCTATCTAGACGGGCAAGGTCCGAGTTTGTCAAGATGGATGCATCTTCCGTACTGTTTCCCCGTCTCGATCTTGATTACTTGAGAACCATTACGTGTGGAACGTATCAGATATCTCTGGCTCCTGGTTACATCGCCGAACATTTAAGTGATGACGGAGACTATGAGGTGTGGCTTTACCAGCACTCCCCAGACCTTCTCCGATGTCAAATACATTCTCGACACAAAAGCCAAACGAAATATAACGTTTGGATACGGTTCACCGTTTCACCCGATGTTGAGGCCCCAATAAAGGACTACTACTGCCAGTGCCCAGTTGGAGAGAGAACGATGGGAATGTGTGCGCACATCTCCAGTATCTTGTACTACCTTGGGTATTACAGGACGCTGGAAAACCCTCGACCATTACAACCACAGGTAAAGAAATTCCGACAAAACTTGAAATAGTTTTCCATGCGGCAACGGAGTGCATATGTCGAAAGTATGTTTGGGGCTCGATATGAAAGATCCCCGTTACCATGTGACTAACCAAACTTATAAATATAGGTATTATACAATCGCCCGTAGCTATGAACACTCCCGTAAATGCGAAAACCAACCAAAATCATAAGGAACACGTTTTGTTTGTTGTTCTGTCTATTTGTCAGCCAATGTCTTCAACCACGGGGACTTGTGAAGTAGCCATCTTGGATTTTTTTTATGAAAAAGTGTTTCTCTCACTTTTTTTCATATCTGTGTACATATTCTCAACATACCGAGCAAATACTCTCGTTTTTTTGTTAATTATCTAAAGAAAGTCGAAAATCGGCAATTCAACCATAGGCTAATTCAACCCAACATTTGAAAATGTTCCACCACTTACATTTTGATGATTTTTCCTCTCATCAATAGCATATTACGTACTGTTTAATAGGATAAAAATTGGTTTGCATCCAACGCCCATAAAAGGGTGTATTCTCTAAAAAACACAGTTTTTGTGTCTAAAATGTTATCATCGAAAATGGCATTTTTGAGATTGTTTCTTCCATAAAACAGCCAAATGGCGCGATGGAAACATGATTTTTTTGTCACAATCATGCCATGAATGTATTCTTTACGGTGACCATCATTTGATTAGATTTTCATTAATATTTTACATAACATGCACATTTTATCAACACTTAGACAGCTTCTGAAAGGTACAACTTTGAGGAGCCATAAAAAACAAACCAAGTGACCTAAATCTTTAAACTTTATAGATTTGTGACCACAACGGCATGGGCAATGTACCACCAACAGGAAATTTGAATCAGAGAAGGGGCCGTTTTGGAAACCGGCCCTTTATGTGCAAAAGAAAAAAAAGAAAGAAAAAAACATTTATTACAACAAAAACAAGACCAAGGTCTGCAATATCGTACAAAATGCACATTGGTTGAAATCACCAATGTCGGCAATGGTAACAATTTTAACACTCATGCAATTTATCAGAAATATCGTCTGTTACACTGCACTGATCAACAGGGGTTCGCTACAAATGTCTGTGAAATAGACATATTCTATAGACCTTCTGACACATATGTAACAGACCTACTGATATGAGTCACAGCACACATAAACATTTCAGACATTTGTAACGAACCCCTGTGCTCCGTCGCAAGATCACTCACTTCAAACGATATCAGTTTCACGCGTCTCGCAGCCACGGTTTCCTCAGTTCCTGATCACGACATGTTATATAACAAGACTGTTATAGAATCTACCGACTGTAGTCAGATTCCCATATAATCAACAAATAAATTCCCGTCTGGATTCTTCACAAAAGGAGCAAAGAGAAACTTTTGAATTAACTTCCAAAAATAACTCCCTCGTACAGGTCAAGGTTGGATTCACGGTGTTCACTGTATTTATCCATGCCCGAAATTTGTTCCGGGGAAAAATCGGAACAATTTAAAATCCAACTTTCAGCTCAGATTTCTATTGATAAACTTAAATCACCCTATAGACATATCATACGCAATTGTATTGATACTGAATTGTGGAATAAATTTGAAGTGTTTGTTAAAATTTCAAAGTACTATGTTTGCCAATCAGCACGGTACAATACCCTGTTCAAATTATTGAACGAAATTGTGTGGACTGTCGATAAGGCGGGCATTTTTAATTTTAAATATAAATTATAAGTTAAAAAAGAACATAAGAGGCAGAGAAATGTAAATATAAGTATTGAACTGTTTTTGTATGGTATTTATGATCTATTTGAATGACACAGCTTTGCAAGCAAGCTAGCGTATTAAGCTGTGTCATTCAAATAGATCATAAATAGCATACAAAAACAGTTCAATGCTTAATTGAAGTACATCAATTGCCATTAAATTTTTAATTTCCATGACTTAAAGTTGAGGAGAAATATCCTCATAAAAGAACTTATGCCAGTTTCTGTGCTTTTGAATTAGTTTTAAACTTTGAAAAGCCTTTATCACACAAATATACCAAACAAAAGTGCTTTTATAAAGACATCAAAATTGAATTAAAAAAGAAATTTATATATATATTTTTTTTTATCATGATTTAATTTAGATGCCACATGAGTCGACAGTCGGTCATGAAGCACACGTTACTGATGATAAAGACGTTGACTTTATGGCGCCCCGATCACGTGACGTCCCCGAGACAGACCTAGCAGCTCGTCGGAGTCGTCTGGAGCGTGCCGACAGCATTGTGCCACACCTGTACGCATCTACACCTCGTCAGTGTACTCAGATACAAGAGGAAGAGGACAGCAGTGACAGCACTAGCTGAACTGACACTGCCGCAGAAAACAAACTAGATCTGGACCAAGTTGTCACTTTAATGCTGATGTTCTGTGCTGTGCTTTTATTGCATGAAGGGATACATTTTCCGATGGAGGACAGATTTAAGATTTCATAACTGTAGTGTTTACTTTTTATTTCACACTAAAATTAACAGAAAAATGTAGTCAAGAAAAAACAATATTTTTTTACTAAGGGAACAACCGTAAGATGAGAATAATACAAAAGTAATTTCAACAGCAATTTCACATATAAAACTGGATCCTTACAAACGTATGTTTGTAGGATATTAATTACCAAAATTGGTATATAGGGTACCGATATCTTACAGTGAAGACAATATGACAAAACAAACTATCGCAAAGATTTCAGTCGAGATATAATACATACCACATACAGTTCACCATATGACATAAAAACAATACATATCATAATGGTTCACTCTGGGATATAACATATCACAAAGGGTTCACCCGAGACAACATAAAAACAATGTATTGTCAGATAATTACTGTTCAAAGCTGCAAAACAAGTTAATTATTCCTGACAATGTATGAAATCATGTTAAACACTTTCTACTGACGACAGTAAGATAAAAACTTCCTCTCTAAACGTGAAGACGTTTACTAACTGAACACTACTGACACTATAGACAACGTCGTCTCATTCAGAATGGGGTTTTATCATACTTACACATTTTAAAACTGTTGTAAAACCTGTCATAATGTTGCTTTGGACATTCATGGAATATTAGCACCGCAAAAATCAAAACACCTTAGTACATGTACTGTGATAAAATATTTTAATGTTGTATACCGGTTACCTCATAATGGAAATAATTATTTAAATGTCCGTTAATAAGCTTAGCAATAGAAGTGTATCCGCTGATCGACACACCATTTTTATCTTTGTTTGTTAAAGGTATTGATTGTTAATTTTTCAGTTTGTCACAACATATCTAGTTTGTATGTAGTAGAGTAATTTTAGAGTCTTTTTTTGGTTTGCTAGTTTTAATGTTCGAATGTGAGTCATAATGAAACGTTTTACCTCCGTTTTGTGTGTATTTAATTTTGAATAAGGTAAACACAAGGTTAGTAATGCACCCATTGCCCTATTATAACTACTGTATTTCACCTTTTATTTTGCAAAGTTACATTTCATGTTAATCCAGGCGAAGATCCACTTATATTCCGAATGATTATTTTCAATATCAGTATTAAAATATCTTCCTCTCATTCATCAGTTCAAACACTCACAGGATAAGTTCCATTCATGCCAGATTTTCTGGAGACCAATCTGTGAGTTTTACAATCATTTTAAAGGAATCGAGGTTAAAATAAGGGAGGTAATTTTTATTCGGAGCGTTGTTCACAGCAAAAGACTTTATCTTATTCCACTAAATTAATGAAATAAAGTTCTCAAAATGAACTTATTACAAAAATAAAGTGATTTACAGTTAATTGCATCTTGTCTGTCGGTCTGTTCCGAAGAATTGTGTAAAGTACTTATATGTTGTTGTCAAATCATTTGTGTGGAGTTTTCACTTAGAGATTATATGTTTTGTTATGTCATCATGTACACATGATGTGGAATTTTACCTTATTATGTATATATTGTTAATACGTACATATCCCGTGGTAGCTTCCTTTATGAAGCCAAATACTATCTAGGCAGCCATTCCTGCATTTTGACAATCACGTCTTTTATGGCAAGTAGAATGTATTTTGGCGCCAAACCGTACTTAAATTCCTAACCGTATATGACGGAACATATCATGGTAAGGCCTTGTCATCACTGGCTGGCTGAGTGTCATCCTCATTTGTTCAAGAGCATAACTTTCTGAATATTTCACCAACATTCACATTTTTTTTAGAACTTATGTTAATGTTAATTATTTGGAAAGCAAAATGTTGCATGCTAAAGTGAGAACCCATATATGCTTATACAAAGTTATGTTCCTTTGTTCATTTTTTTATACCAAAGTTTGTCCGGTTTAGTTTAGTTTAAACATATCTTATTGTACAAATATATACAAACGGATTGGACAACAAGTTATTTTAACCTAATGTAGTCCTCTCCTCAATACGTATGGTAAAAGCAGTGTATAAATATGTTTATCCGGGCATTACTCCCTTGCTATTATGTCAAGCTGTGTTTACCAAACTTATTTACTTATTTATCGTTTATCTTGGGGAAAGTGAAGCGTCATGCTTTTAATTTACCTCTCACACTCCCCAGTATATATAGATTTATGGCCCTTTATCATTTTAACAAAGAAGTTTGTCCAAGCTCTGTTCACAAATTATTTATGATTCAACTTAAGATGTTGGTAAGGTAAAATTGATCTATGCTCTGTTACACCAGAGAAATGCCTCCCATTTATTTATGAATTAGAAATTTGTCTGAAGGTATTTACTTCATGTTTATATTTATTTAAATAATACATTGGGCTTAGGGGCTATAACACCTTGGTATTTGGAACAACCATCATTTCAAAGCAGGCAACTGGAATTATACATAATTTGCATAAGGCAGGGTTAGCATATAAGTTGCTGCCTGGCAAGCCATGTATCTTGAACAACAAAATAATTAGCTGAATAAAAAATTTGAATTCTTGAGGGTTTTACAAATTACATATTATAAGATTCCCAAACGAAAGATGTTCCACAGCTGAAATACTCCCTAAATATTGAAATAATATTTATATAAGAATTTTGAAAAATTATGAACATAGTGTGGTGTAGATCTATTGCTGATATATTTATTAGGAGTAGCTTACCGATGTAGATATGTATGTAGGAATATAGCAAGGTTTTAAATCTATTGTAACTCGTTATAAAACAAGTGTTTCTGTTTTATGTACATCACCAAGCATAAACTGCTTTCAGCATCTGTACCTTTTATTTATATTTAAATTTCAAAAACCCTAAATTTGATGAAACATGTTTATAGAATTATGTATTGCCACTAAATGTGTCGTGTACCAATTCAAGTTCAAGATTATAAAATATATTGGAGTTGTGTATAGGGAAATGAATTGATCTTAATTAGATCCTAGGTGCAAATCTCCTTAAATATTGATTATTCTGAAATGGCAATTTTTGATAGAGAATTTTTTGTATTTGACACGTTTTTTGTAAACTCTTTGCAACTGCCTACTAAGATTTTTGTGTTTGACAAGTATTTTTTTAATTCTTGTAACTATACCCACTAAGATGATTATATGAACTATTTGACCCGTATTTTGTTAACTCTTTGTAACTGTCCACTAAGATGTTTGTATTAACTATTTGAACCGTATTTTGGTAACACTTTGTAACTATACACTACTTTATGTTTGGTATATGTAATCCTTTGTATTTTAGGTTGCTTTACAAATCTGCATTTTTAAAGAATACCTCGTTGTGTTTTTGTAACATTTTACTCAATCTGCTTGATGTTACTGCCTTTTCACTAAGTAATATATAGTCATTATTATTGCATAAAGTATACTTTTTAGAAATAAATTTATACACATTGAATAACAGGTTTAAATCTGCTTTTTTTGTCTTTCTTATATTGCTGAAGAAAATTACGTGACCCAACAGAGTGGGACAGTAAATAATATATAAACCATATATATCCACCAATAAGCCCATGCCTGGTAAAAAAACACCTATTGTAATTCGGTTAAAATATCCAACTATTGTTATTTTTTTGTCATGTATTAAGCCCAGTAACTTCATATCAACCTTAGATTAAACATCCACATTTAAAGAACAAGGAGAACCAACATGTTATATGAGGACGATTCCTCAGGAACCTTTTGGGAAATTATGATGACAAACGTTAACTATAAGTACAAGATGGCTTTCAGGGGCCATCTGGTTTTTCTTATTGCTCTCAATGTTAATCATGCACAACTAAGGAACCAGATAAACCTACAAATGAAATACGAAAGAGGTTGATAACAAACTTCCCCTGTCAAATAAAAGATGGCTGCCTGGTGGCGATATTGTTTTTTCAATCAGTCTCAAAATTGAGACAACTATAGGATAATGAGGAACCAACATATATGCAATTTGCCATCCAGTGGTTCTTCAGAATAGCTATAACAACACTTTTAACTGACAAATCAAAGATGGCTACCATCTTGTTGTTTCAATCTGTCTCACAATTAAGCACGCAGATGGAGGAAAACCTGGATATGAAATATGGGAAAGATTCATCCAGAACTTCCAGAGAAATGGTGATAAATTTTTTCAAAATCAAAGATGGCTACTCGGTGGCCATCTTTTCTTCCATCAGTTTAGCATGCACAAATCAGGAGCAATGAGAACCTACATTTAAAATTTGAGAAAGATCTAAATCTAAATAAGTACGAACTAAGAATTAGTGATAACAATAATGTTGTTCAAAGGCGAATGACGGACTAAAGTTGAGAAGTGACTTGACTGGTATCATCCTGACCTTGTCACCTCATAACCTTGCCAAAAAGAAACTTATTACTTGTATTTATACAAAAATCTTTTCCATGATTTTTTCATATAAATACACACAAATTACCAGGTAGATGCATCAATTGAAGCATATTTCTCCTTAAATATTATTTATGAGTGGTCATTGCTATAATCTGTATTGACATTGTCACATGCTACACAGCCTGGTCTCCACGTCGGTTTACGTAAAAGGGCTCCAAATGTTGCAACAAGAAATCCATTGTTCTTAAATATATCAGTTTTTCTTGAGTAGACACAAATGAGATTCATCCCACTGCCACACGGTCATATGGCCACAGGGTGTTGCATGTACAATTTGGATATAAGATAATCAGCCCTTTTTGAGGATTAGTCTTTTAAAAAATTACCACTATTTCCGCATTGCTTACTATCCATCCATATCCCCTTAGATTGTTTTGCTCAACTCTATAAAAAGGAGTTCTACTGCCCGAGAGATTTTGCAAATTCTGTTGAATGCACCAAGTTTACCAGACTTAAGGTTTCTTAAGCATTATCTCATCATTGACAGTATCCTGTCTCAATCTAATAACTAATAATAAATCCCAAAATTGATGAAGTGTACATTAAACAAATAAAACAAAACACAAAATTAAACAGCACATGTTTTTAATATTTATCTGGATAACAAAATACATCTATATATTATATTAAATGTTGATACAAAACAACCATTTTTCTGTATATTTATCTCCCATTTAATCAGGAACCCATACAGATCAATAATCAAAATTCCATAAAAATACTGTAAAGTTGCTAAAATATGATAAAGATGTATTAAAAAGTCACAAATGAAAAAGGCCATCAAATAGACATTATGTGATGTATATAGAAGATATGCAATTATTTTTTATCTAAATACTTTCCGTTGACATTTGACATTTGGCAAAATCAGAAGTCACATAACATTTTCCCTGAGAAGGGTCAAAACACTTGTCGAATAGACATGCACTTTCAAACCAAAGAGTCGAAGCTCATTTCTGAAGAAAAAAACAATACTTTTACAAGTTTACAGAAAGCCTGAATGAATTATACACCAGACATATTATCTAGATAGATTTATCAATGTTACTGTTGACAAAGGTGAATATTAAAATCTAACTTGATAGATATCATTTCTTTTAAGACTAAATACGCCACAAGTAAATGCAAAGTTTAAAGTTTGTAAGAGCAAATCTTGACAAGTAACTAATTGGTGTGTTTCAATAATAAACCAACAAGCATATGATTCTAAAATAAATAATTGCACGAGTTCTCAGTTTTGAGTCCAGAGATTAGTGAAAACATTTCAATTTCTATTATTAAGTTAGAGTACAGTTGTTTTGGCATGAACCTCGAGTATACTTAATACTCTTACAAGTAATAAAACAACTCCGACACATCTTTCCTCTCTGTGATGAGATATAAGTACATGTTGTTCTTATTAGGTATTTATCTCTGGTGACTTCATAACAAGCTAGCTGCATCAGACCTACATCAAGGTAGATCTAGGGCATTGTGTAGACTGTGCACCTCTCATTCAAATACCTCTTTCTAAAAGAAGCCCCCCACCCCTATCCCATGCACACACCTTCTAATATCGACTAAATCTTACAGATTGAGATCCTTTTTTTTAAAACCAATTTCATATCATCCCATTCATCAAATTAAGCATAGGTGTCAACCTCTGAAACCTCAAAGGAGGGAGATCTCCTTCATTCCACATTTCCAATGAGAGAGAAAGTATGTGAAATGTGACTGAAACTATTTCCTCAAGTTCTCTATCCCTTTTTATGCATTAAAATAACTCCAAAAAGCATTCATTTGATTCAGACACACCTTTTATGATCATTACACACACCATGTAGTAACTAGGAGATCATTTGACCACAGGATGTAGATTTTGGGTTTGTGTGAGTTTTGACTTGAATGAGGGAGTTTCGAGGAAGATTGGTAAATTTTGGTCAAATGAGAGAGTCTCCCTCCTAATGAGGGAGGTTTGACAGCTACAACCAAGACCCTGGATACCAACGCTGTTCACCAATAGAACTGAAATAATCAGATTAATCACAGAGTCATTAAGGTAAAATCAAAGGAAATCTGCTTTGAATAATCATAAATATATATATGTATGTATCTGGTACATGTATAATTAAATAGAAAGAGCATTCAGATTATGTACTTTATGACAGACATCTTTGGCAAGATTTCGATTCCATTTTTTTTCTAAATATTGGGCAATTGTTTCATTAAAAAGTTATGTTAGAGTTTTCTCAAGGCAAAAATCCAGTGGAAGACATAATCTGCCTTATTGTTTCTTTGTCGTCTTTTGGCAATGGCTGGAGGGGAGACCGAGTGGGACCGCCATAGTAACCCATCATCTCCATAGCACACTTCAGTCCTGGAATTCCAAACTGCTTGGTTACCTGAAAAGGTGAAAAAAGTTAGCAATAACTTTTACAAGCATTTTATTAATTTCTAGAAATTGTTTTCCAAAGCAAATCTGCAAAGAAATATATTTCATGAAAATGTGTTATAAATCTTGTGAATTAGTGTACCAGAAAGTTTAAAAATGTGGCCGCACCTTCAAATTCTGTAATTATGAATTAATGATATTTCATTAGAAAAAAAAATCCTTTCCTTTCTTCGCAAAATATTTCTCTTTAATCTAGTCTAGAAACCCTATCAGTCAAACTTCGATTACAACTGCAAAAGCTGTGACAAACATTTGATATTCAGAATGTGACGAACAAATTAACTAAATATGAACAGAATTAGATTAAAGGAAATGGAACTTTTGGAATTGTAAGTTTATGAATCTTTAAAATACAGAAAGTGTTGACGCCTACCCTGATTATCATCAATACTTACGGCAGTGTTCGGCGCTATAAGTCTGTGTTGGAGGTGTTTAGCTTCCTCAAACTTTCCAGCTTTGAACAAATTCTCAAGGTCACACAACTCCTTCCCAAGGACATTTCCAAGTGCACACACTCCACCCACGCAGCCTAGCAACACATTAAAAGTTTTTTTGTTTTTTTTTTGTACTTAAGGACACATTCTTTAGCTAAATTATAATAAATGCCAATTTTTAAAAGCAAAAACATCCAAAATGAGATATTTCTACATGTATTATCAAGTATGCTAATAAGTAGACCTGGCCTCAAAAAACAGTGGCACCAGGTTGGTCCTTGTCGGACAATTCAGCGAAAAGACGACTATTCGGTCAGTAGTCTGTTTTCCAATATGCTGTAATTTGAAATTCTTCTTTCAAGCTAAATACAGTTGCATGGACTTAAAACAGCAACCGTTAGACTTGAAAATGAAAAGGTCCAAACATTTTTAACAAATAATTTTTTTATTTATTAAGAATTTATAAAAACTTACCAACGACATAGCCAGAGAGTAGAAATCCTGCTGAACCGGCCAGTATCTGGAAATCAGCTTCCTGGGTTTTGTACGCGAGCAGTCCAATGGAAGTTATCTATAGGAACAATTAACACCTCCAAATATACCAGGTAGTTAGGAGATAACCTTATCTGACAGAGTTACAAACAGGGTGTCATTAGCAACGTGGAGCTTGATCCTGCCATTGACATTGTACGTATGGGACCTGGATGTTCATTTTAGTATCGATGGTTACTTGGGGTGAAGACATACTAGATGCACCAACACTAAGGGGAGTACACAATACATCTAAACCTTCCATACAATACCGTTCTCGCTATTATTCTAACTGTTCTCCAACCATCTCCTCCAATTCAGGTCTGAAGGAGTGCTCAGATGAGAAACTATGTGAGAATTCTCTGCATTTTTGACTTTTGAAATAAAAACAACTGAATGTCATTATACCTTATCGGTGTTACAGCCAGTCTGATTGGTCAAAACATATTACAAGACGGGGAGACTCTTCACTACTAAGTTTTAGTTCTATTTTGATAAAACATTTTAACACTTGTGGTAGGGAAACTTTATTATTTGTTTCCCCTTGATCTATCATACTTCACTATCTTCATTGTAAAGCATGATTAACCTCAGGGAAACAAATACTATGTTTCCCTACTACATAAATGTACAATGTCACATACATAAGCATAGTCAATTCAACAGCTGGCGAAACTACTGTATACTAGGAAATGTTTGCCCGAGTTAAACTTTCCTCTTTTTCAGTCTCCATTATGAGGGCGAATGAACATATGCCAATGCAAAAGGCAAAATCACCTCTGGGCGAATATTGATTGTACCATTGAAGGGCTAGAGTCTTACAGTATTATTACAAAGTAGGCTGAAGCCATATAAACTACACTGAAAATGTAAAACACAAATAAAAAATTAGGGAGAAAAATATGCGATTTTCCTTTATTGTCCATTGTTCAGACACTGAAACAAAGGTTCCTATGACATGCTATGAATAATCTCTGTGAAAACGGTCCCAACAATTCATGATGGGTGATTATCATATTATGTTTATTTTACTCTTGTTAGTTAAATTTCAAATTACATGTATCTTTTACAGTTTGAAAATTAACAAGTTCAATTCAAGTTAGATAAACATGAACAACCAACTGCCACTTGTTGGGGAACCTCTATGAATCCCGACTTACATCACCACCACTGTCCTTCAGGCCGATGATGTTGGGGTGTTTGGACAACTCTACAACCACAGCCGGAGGGATGGTTATGTTGGTATTTGCCGGAACACTGTATAACAACACCGGTATGGAGCTGTTGTCTGCCACCTACAACATGTCAGAGTCTTCAGTCATCTCAGGACCACATCATGTATCTTACTGTCACTATAGCTGTGTGGCTACATACTGTACGTCACCTTATTTTCATGTACCATTTATTTTGGCAAAATGAGTCTGTAGGTTTTACTTAACTGAATATCTTAATTTAAAATTCAAATGTTGCTATTTCAATATTGATAGCAGTTACAGTTGAATTAATATTCACTGAGGAGTTGAATTTGTGAATGAGTCTCCTCTAAATTAACATGAAAATTAATATCTCACAAAAATAAAATCATAAACAGCAGCAAGCCTCCTAACATACCTATACTATAGCAGGAAGTATATCAAGATTAATGATTTTACATAAATTGTCACTAGATTTATGTGCCATTTATCAAATAAGGTTGGCAGGTAATTGATTAAATTGATAATAAGTTTAAAAGTGTTTTCCCAAGGTTTCCCTTTCTTTTCCAAATCAAATTTACTGCAATATGTACCATATTTATCGGACAATCATCCTCAATATCCAGAAGTTACGCTCACTTTCGCTCTCTACCCACCTGGAATATGTCATAGCAAAATTGAAGGGACACAGATAGCTGTTTGATTGGTCTCAGATAAAAAAAAATCAATCGCTAGGTTGATACCTGTCCTTTGAAGATTACAAAGGAGAGACGCCCAACTTTAAAACCTGTCAATTTTTACTGTTATGTGACCGCAAGATTCTTTTGATATATCTCAAAGGATCGAACTAGTCTTCTTGTCTCATCAACAAGGTGGTGTACACTGAGCCTTCAATTTTGCTGACATATTCAAGGGGTGTAGAGAGCGAAAGTGAGCCTAACCCCAGTATATCGAGGATGTCTGACAATAAGCCCATGCAGTTCAGTAGAAATCTAAACAAATGTATTTTTTTGTTCTGTAATAAGCCCACCCACTACTTTGAGTAAGAAATTACAGGCTGGCACCCTGGGCTTATTGCAGGATAAATTCAACACTAGCTACATGTATATTGATATATGAAAGTGACAAAAATTATCAAGCTGATATTCATGCACCAATGTTCATTTTCAATTCTTAAAATATATACATGTCAGCTTAAGAGTAACTGCAATCTCATTAGATTGTCTGTTGTTGAATGAACTTATTTTAAAGAATCTTTGAAAGTGGTTCTACTGACATTGGGACATTCAGAACATTTTATTTATCTATATTTGCTGTGTCAAAACAATGAACAGATACCTTGCCATAGTGTTGTATAAGGGCCGAGTTATTCATGGCACCCTTGTAGTAACACGGGGTGACCACTAGCGCCACCTGGGCACCTGCTTCTGCCATTTTATTGGTCATCTCTATTGTGTCGCGTGTTGCTGAAAGAGGAAACAAACTTCAGATATAAAGTTAAAGAAATCACAGAATCAGAAATAAGAAAGTATACTCAAAATATTATTAATAAATCAAGACAAATTTCAAAATCACCGAACTGTTGCACTTCCCTTACATTCACAGCCTGAACAATGATATGGTTAAATAGGTGAATGGTATAACATTACATTTACATTAAAATATTAAATTATCAACTTTGTTTATCTTTAAAAGAATTATGAAACCAGTTTTTCAAACTTATGTTAATTAATAATTAATCACTCTTGTTGGCTCGGATGGAAATGCACAGAGGGTTTTATGTGGGAGGAAACCGGCGTACCAAGAGAATAATCAAATGGTCAGACAGGTAACCCAGTACCTAGTTTCATGTCTGATTGCGGAATCGAACCTCGGATGTATTGGTGACAGACTGTGCCACCCAACAACCGCATATTTTACACTTACATTCACAGCCTGAACCTGCAATGATAAGCTTGTTCGGGTCTGCCATAGTCTTCACCTTGCGTACCATATCTATCCTCTCCTCCTTGGTCAGGTAAGCATACTCTCCATTTGAGCCCTGTACCACATAACCTGGTAAAATCAACATGATATTGAGGTGAAACCTCTACACTGCAGATGTTTACAGCAGAAATGCTCAATGTAGTTCTGTTAGAAACCCTTAAATTATTGTTCCAAACTTAACAGCCTAGCAAATACAGAGACCACATAAACTTAAATCTTCTAGTCTTTTTTTTATGTCTTTGCCTCCAGAAGACACCGAACAACAATCAAGATTCCAGTATGCCATCATCCTCAATACTCCAGGGGTTAGGCTCACTTTCGCTCTCTGCACCCCTAGAATATGTCATGGCAAAATCGAAGGCTCAGTGAGTGCCAGCTTAATTTTCATCAAAAGAATCTCTCGATTGCATATAACTGTAAAATTGACTGGCTTTGAAGTCGGTGTCGCTCTTTCGTAATTTTCAAAGGACATGTATTAGCCTAGTGATTGGTCAGATTGTTTTACCTGAAACCGATCAAATAGCTAGCAATGGCCAATGTGCCGTCAGTTTTGATATGACATATTCCAGGGGTGCAGAGAGCAAAGGTGAGGATAACCCCTGAAGTATCGAGGATGGTATCCCATAGACACAGTGACAAAATTTTACATACACTGACCCAGGATTTGAAATCTGACACAAATGACCGTGTAAATATACAGCTGGGGGCACATTATACATATTGTATATTGATAAATTTACAATATTGGTAACTATGGTTGATTGATTGATTGATAGGTTTTACGTCCGCTTCACTACCGTGTATTTCGGTTATCCAGCAGACGTTAACTATGGTAACCCCTCTGCTTTATATAGATTCAAATTTCAAACACCAGAGTACATACAAACTTGGATTGTTTTCAGGGAAATTTTGTATGACTACATACTACAAATGAAGTCATTTAAATTTAAAATAAAAAACCACACGACACCTGGATATGACCCCAGTAACCTCTGTACGTGCTGTTACTAACCGAGTCGATAACTCTGATGATAGATGAAGTGCATTGTAATCCATACATTGTTTAAAGTAGCTAAAACTTGATAACTGTGACGTATCTGAAATTGACAAAGGGATATATCACATGGTGAAACATTGGGTGCTTAAAATACATATCGGTTACTGGCCTCTTAGACTGGTATACGTTTTTAATTCCACAAGCCTGATGCCTGGCTGTTAGATTTTATGTCGGGACTTGTGGAAAGTTTTAGCATTCATTTGGAAATTACAGTTGGGCATGCAAGTATTATTTTTCAAAATCTGTCTACAGGCTAAAGACGGAATTGTACACCCCTGGAAAGCTGGTGTGCATCAATTAATGCACTACCTGCTTTACTGTGTGGTAATACATCGTTTTCTGTAGCACACTTCACATGTGTACAGGTAGTTCAAATCCGTGCACACATCTTACACAATAAGTAACTGTTCCATCACCTGATCTACGCTTTACATTGTCCTCACCTGTCTAACAATTAACTCTCACCTGTCTCACTCTTAACTCTCACCTGTCTCACTCTTAACTCTCACCTGTCTCACAATTAACTCTCACATGTCTCACTCTTAACTCTCACCTGTCTCACACTTAACTCTCACACATCTTACTCTTAACTTTCGCCTGTCTCACTCAACTCTCACCTGTCTCACACTTAACTCTCACCTGTCTCACACTTAACCTGTATAATAGCTGTCACTCACCTGTCTCACACTTAACCTGTATACTAGCTGTCACTCACCTGTCTCACACTTAACTCTCGCCTGTCTCTCACCTAACCTTCACCTGTCTCACACTTAACCTGTATACTAGCTGTCACTCACCTGTCTGAAACTTGACCTGTACTCACCTGTCTCACACTTAACCTGTATACTATAGCTGTAGCTGTCACTCACTTGTCTGAAACTTTACCTGTACACTTACAATTACCTGTCATATACTTTACTTATATCAAAGACTTAGAATCTAATTCCGTGCTTATATGCAGTCATGCATTCCAGTTTATCCTAGACACCTGTAAAGTTCCTGCACTTGAACTTACCTGTATCAACTATAGTCTATGTGTGCATTTATATGGTAAGAAACTTTATAGTACAGACTATACTTTACCTGTAATTAAATCCTATTGCTCTCTAACTGACACAAAATCTCACCTACATAGTGCAGCATACACCCAACACCTTACCTGTGTATAGGAAAAATACCAAATGTATGCTAGCTGAGACGACACCGTAGTCTTCTGTCCCAAACTTTACCTATTTAGTCACCTGATCCATAACTCATCAATTCAGTTACAACTTACCTGTGCCATATTTTAACTGAACCTTGAATCCTCCTAAATTTGGATGATTTCTGGGACAAATAAACCAGTTGTATTAATATACCAGAGTTGCAGCAGACTACGTCACTAAAACAGCTTCACAGTCGCTGCACAGGTAGTATTAAAATATTACAAAATAAAAACCTCTAAATGGTATTTTGTTCCAACGTTGCATGTTTTCTTGCAGTCGGTCATACGCAATTGTCTCATCCTCGTTGAAGGGTGTGGCTATCGGGGGGTACACACCACTGACATCAAGAACCTGGCCTGTCGAGGACGACAGACGGCGCCCAAAAACCCGTCCCCCTGCAGAACACGACGTCATCTTCCCAAATTTCGGAATTCGCCGAGTTATAATCGACAGTCCCCTGCTAGCGATAGATGACATTTTCTTTGTTATGTTTAATAGTGACTAGACCTTCACGTAGCTGCAGACGTAGAACCCAGGGAATGACATCCGATAGGCGAGCAGATACCTGGTAATTGGAGAAGATACCCTTCAGGTCATCCTAGCAAACCTGCCGACGTCTATCATAACAAAACCCACGTGTGTGTACACTGTATCTCCACATTAAAGAGTTCTAATTCGAGTGGGGTCCGCGCGGAATTTAAAATCGATGTGGCAATCGTTTGATGTTTTTTGACGAGGTGATATCGGAAAAGTTCTCATTTTGGTAAGGTAAAAAATGAGCTACTTTGTCAAAAAGAGTGTATTTTTTAACTCGTCATTTTTTAAAAACAAGTAGAACTCACAGGGACCTGAGGACTTGTCACAGCTAACATATTTGGACCTAAAACTTAGGTGTTCATAGTAATTTTACACGTTTACTCGTTAAAATTCTCTGAGAACGTTACCAAGTTCTCAGGTTCCTGTCAATATAAAAATCTATAACACGATTTAAAATCTCGTTTCATTGGCATCACAAATGACTTGGAAACATGTACATTCTTTAGAAATATAAAGGAGTGATTTACGGATAGAACTGGTAACGTTATATATATGGTAGCATGGACCAATGGCCCATCGAGATCTCTAGAGCACCTACGTTTTTCTAAGTGACAAAATTTTACATACACTGACCCAGGATTTGAAATCTGACACAAATGACCGTGTAAATATACAGCTGGCGGCACATTATACATATTGTATATTGATAAATTTACAATATCGGTAACTATGGTTGATTGATTGATTGATTGATAGGTTTTACGTCCGCTTCACTACCGTGTATTTCGGTTATCCAGCAGACGGTAACTATGGTAACCCCTCTGCTTTATATAGATTCAAATTTCAAACACCAGAGTACATACAAACTTGGATTGTTTTCAGGGAAATTTTGTATGACTACATACTACAAATGAAGTCATTTAAATTTAAAATAAAAATCCACACGACACCTGGATATGACCCCAGTAACCTCTGTACGTGCTGTTACTAACCGAGTCGATAACTCTGATGATAGATGAAGTGCATTGTAATCCATACATTGTTTAAAGTAGCTAAAACTTGATAACTGTGATGTATCTGAAATTGACAAAGGGATATATCACATGGTGAAACATTGGGTGCTTAAAATACATATCGGTTACTGGCCTCTTAGACTGGTATACGTTTTTAATTCCACAAGCCTGATGCCTGGCTGTTAGATTTTATGTCGGGACTTGTGAAAAGTTTTAGCATTTATTTGGAAATTACAGTTGGGCATGCAAGTATTATTTTTCAAAATCTGTCTACAGGCTAAAGACGGAATTGTACACCCCTGGAAAGCTGGTGTGCATCAATTAATGCACTACCTGCTTTACTGTGTGGTAATACATCGTTTTCTGTAGCACACTTCACATGTGTACAGGTAGTTCAAATCCGTGCACACATCTTACACAATAAGTAACTGTTCCATCACCTGATCTACGCTTTACATTGTCCTCACCTGTCTAACAATTAACTCTCACCTGTCTCACTCTTAACTCTCACCTGTCTCACTCTTAACTCTCACCTGTCTCACAATTAACTCTCACATGTCTCACTCTTAACTCTCACCTGTCTCACACTTAACTCTCACACATCTTACTCTTAACTTTCGCCTGTCTCACTCAACTCTCACCTGTCTCACACTTAACTCTCACCTGTCTCACACTTAACCTGTATAATAGCTGTCACTCACCTGTCTCACACTTAACCTGTATACTAGCTGTCACTCACCTGTCTCACACTTAACTCTCGCCTGTCTCTCACCTAACCTTCACCTGTCTCACACTTAACCTGTATACTAGCTGTCACTCACCTGTCTGAAACTTGACCTGTACTCACCTGTCTCACACTTAACCTGTATACTATAGCTGTAGCTGTCACTCACTTGTCTGAAACTTTACCTGTACACTTACAATTACCTGTCATATACTTTACTTATATCAAAGACTTAGAATCTAATTCCGTGCTTATATGCAGTCATGCATTCCAGTTTATCCTAGACACCTGTAAAGTTCCTGCACTTGAACTTACCTGTATCAACTATAGTCTATGTGTGCATTTATATGGTAAGAAACTTTATAGTACAGACTATACTTTACCTGTAATTAAATCCTATTGTTCTCTTACTGACACAAAATCTCACCTACATAGTGCAGCATACACCCAACACCTTACCTGTGTATAGGAAAAATACCAAATGTATGCTAGCTGAGACGACACCGTAGTCTTCTGTCCCAAACTTTACCTATTTAGTCACCTGATCCATAACTCATCAATTCAGTTACAACTTACCTGTGCCACATTTTACCTGAACCTTGAATCCTCCTAGATTTGGATGATTTCTGGGACAAATAAACCAGTTGTATTAATATACCAGAGTTGCAGCAGACTACGTCACTAAAACAGCTTCACAGTCGCTGCACAGGTAGTATTAAAATATTACAAAATAAAAACCTCTAAATGGTATTTTGTTCCAACGTTGCATGTTTTCTTGCAGTCGGTCATACGCAATTGTCTCATCCTCGTTGAAGGGTGTGGCTATCGGGGGGTACACACCACTGACATCAAGAACCTGGCCTGTCGAGGACGACAGACGGCGCCCAAAAACCCGTCCCCCTGCAGAACACGACGTCATCTTCCCAAATTTCGGAATTCGCCGAGTTATAATCGACAGTCCCCTGCTAGCGATAGATGACATTTTCTTTGTTATGTTTAATAGTGACTAGACCTTCACGTAGCTGCAGACGTAGAACCCAGGGAATGACATCCGATAGGCGAGCAGATACCTGGTAATTGGAGAAGATACCCTTCAGGTCATCCTAGCAAACCTGCCGACGTCTATCATAACAAAACCCACGTGTGTGTACACTGTATCTCCACATTAAAGAGTTCTAATTCGAGTGGGGTCCGCGCGGAATTTAAAATCGATGTGGCAATCGTTTGATGTTTTTTGACGAGGTGATATCGGAAAAGTTCTCATTTTGGTAAGGTAAAAAATGAGCTACTTTGTCAAAAAGAGTGTATTTTTTAACTCGTCATTTTTTAAAAACAAGTAGAACTCACAGGGACCTGAGGACTTGTCACAGCTAACATATTTGGACCTAAAACTTAGGTGTTCATAGTAATTTTACACGTTTACTCGTTAAAATTCTCTGAGAACGTTACCAAGTTCTCAGGTTCCTGTCAATATAAAAATCTATAACACGATTTAAAATCTCGTTTCATTGGCATCACAAATGACTTGGAAACATGTACATTCTTTAGAAATATAAAGGAGTGATTTACGGATAGAACTGGTAACGTTATATATATGGTAGCATGGACCAATGGCCCATCGAGATCTCTAGAGCACCTACGTTTTTCTAAGTGACAAAATTTTACATACACTGACCCAGGATTTGAAATCTGACACAAATGACCGTGTAAATATACAGCTGGCGGCACATTATACATATTGTATATTGATAAATTTACAATATCGGTAACTATGGTTGATTGATTGATTGATTGATAGGTTTTACGTCCGCTTCACTACCGTGTATTTCGGTTATCCAGCAGACGGTAACTATGGTAACCCCTCTGCTTTATATAGATTCAAATTTCAAACACCAGAGTACATACAAACTTGGATTGTTTTCAGGGAAATTTGGTATGACTACATACTACAAATGAAGTCATTTAAATTTAAAATAAAAATCCACACGACACCTGGATATGACCCCAGTAACCTCTGTACGTGCTGTTACTAACCGAGCCGATAACTCTGATGATAGATGAAGTGCATTGTAATCCATACATTGTTTAAAGTAGCTAAAACTTGATAACTGTGATATATCTGAAATTGACAAAGGGATATATCACATGGTGAAACATTGGGTGCTTAAAATACATATCGGTTTTCTAAGGATTTTTTAGTGTTATAAATGATTTTCAGAGGCATCAGAAAGTACTTTGACTTTCCGATGCATGAATCCGTCTTATAAATGATTTTCAGAGGCATCAGAAAGTACTTTGATTTTCCGATGCATGAATCCGTCTGAAAACTTGCCGCCATGTATTTCGGCCTAGTGTAACGTTACCTCAATTGCGGATAGATTAACATCCGTAAGTTGGAGTTGCAACTCGTAGGGTCATAGGTTATATAGATTATTAAAAATACCTACTATAAATATAGCACGTGTGACATATTTAAATTGCAGGTAAGTTGTCGTCACAGAATTCACGTGATTATCATTTCTAAAAGGGTTGGTTTGTTTTATTTGGTTTAACGTCCTATCAACAGCTAGTTATATAATGTAGACAGAACCACTAGTCACATACCGCATTATAAATTTAAAGCCCAAACATCGTATTTTAGTTTATAACCGCATCATATTTTAGACAAGTCAAACGTGTACCGTCATGCAGTCTCTATCAGCTCTCCGGGCCTCCTTTTCATTTCGACTTGTCTGTTCTCATATATATATTTAATACTAACTTTGGGTGGGTAGTCTTTCTCACTTGTTATTATTTGGTGTATGCAATTTATATATATACATACTTTTCACATTGCAAACAGGCTCCGCCTTTCGGCTCTAATGTTTCGCTCTTCGAGTATCTGCCAGGCTAGGGTAAGCTTCTTTCTAACTAATTTTGGCCCGCACGTGACCTCGCGTGTGGAACTGTTATTGAGACTATAAATTAATCACAGTGTTGACAATTCTATATATCTATATATCTATATTCTATAAGCATAACTCAAATAGGTAATGTTTATAGAATATCGCACTAGTTTACTGAACGCGAAAACGCAGAAACTTCCACTTTACAACTATCATATTGATAATACATTTGTATATTGTAAAAAAAGTAGTCAAGTAATCAAGTGTCCTCCGTAAATTGAAATATACTCTAAACCTATTTTAAAATATTGCTGTGAACTTTGGGATGGTTGTACTCTTACTGATACAGATATAAAGTTAGAAAAGTTACAATTAGAGGCAGGACGTATTGTCACCGGTTTACCTTCTTATGCTAGTATAGACAATCTATTGATACTGAAACGGGATGGGAATCCGTAGCCCACCGAAGGTCCCGTCGGAAACTGCAATTATTTCATAAAATTCATCATAATATTACTCCTAACTATCTAAACACTCTACTCCCTCCCCTTGTCGAAAATGCTCAATATAATCTTAGAAACGCCGAAAACTACAACCTGCCTAACAACAGGCTAGAGTTGTTCTACATGTCCTACTTTCCTTCTACTATTAGACTCTGGAATCAAAATTGACATCTTTATTAATACATGTATCTTACTAATAGTATAACTAGTTCCGTTCGCATGGAGAAGGAACAGCCACGTGGTCTGATATGTATTTTCTTAAATTTACTGTATTGTTGCAGTACTTATCCAGTAATCTTAACCGTCGGACTCTCTAACGCCCNCCCCCCCCCCCCCCCGCCCTCTCACTCTTCCTTTATCTACATGTGCATGTTAATATGTGTGGGTGTATGTATGTCAACTTATCAATTAATTTATCATACATACCTAATGTCGTATTTCTGCCATTATGAAACTTTGTTAAATATATATTATTGTACAGGGAAAGGTCTTGATATAAGTTGTACAGCTTGTGCCCAATTCCATTGCTATGTAAAAAAGGTAATAAAATATGTTTAAATAAATAAATTCCACTTAAACGGTATTCAAAAGGGTAGTAATAAAACGAACTTAACTCGTCGGGTGGTTGACTGAATCATATCTTTTAAATCAATTTGTTTGTTCTGTGAGCCTTTCGGCTTGTAAAATACAAGGTATATTATGGAAAGCCGGTATGCGATATACTCCGTGCGAAATACTTTTTAAACATGTTTAAACTGGAGTATCCGGTAGGACCTACCGGTATCAGTGTGACTAATTGTGATGGACACATAGGGAGGGTTTTCTGCTACAGACAGCAATAAACCTAGCCGCCGTGCGTGTTAGTAAACACTATCATGCTACAGTAGTGATCTCACCAGTGGTCAGCTGTCTGTCGTAATTCTATAGGTCTCTCAGTGATGTTCTAGGCTCAGTTCTTCACACATTGTCAGCTTTTTCTTTAAATTTAATTTGGAAATTGTACCATTATGGATTCTGTCTGCTAAAAGTCTAACTTAAATTAAAAAAAATATATATACATGTGAATGAATCTTCCAAAGATGCTTCAGACGGCGCATCTTTGAAATTCCAGTGCTTACGCTTGTAAGTGGGGATAACCCTAGCCCGAGTTTCCTCTGGCCCTGACACCAGACTTTAGACATTTTGCCAGATAGATACGTCTGGTGTCAGGACCAGAGAAAATTATATTTGACCTCGACCGTCTCCGAATGTCACAGTTGTGAGATGAGAACAGGTGAACGATACAGGCCCATTGCACTCCTTGTGTTTTCTCAAAAATTTATGAATTGTCCTCTTTCTTGTATGTAGATAACAAACATTCTTGCCCGAGTGAGATATATGTATACTTGTTATCCCACCATTGCTTACCACAAAATATCCACATGTTTCTCTCCCGTTTGACATTATGCTAAATATGAAAATGTAATTTTAATCTTAAAATTGTGACATATTTTTGAATTTCATTTGTTATAAAATCGAGCGGAACATTCGATACAAAATGTCGATATTTGAATTAATACATGCAATATTTTTATTGTTTCTATGAAATCCCTTCAAATGTTAATAAGATATGGTTTCATAACTGAGTTGGTAATTACATTTTGAACATATCTGATTACCTTAACCGGAGATATATAAAGCCAGTATATATACGTTTCTGCCTTAACCAAGATTAACATAGACGAGTATAAATTCATTGACAAACTTCAATCATTTTGTCCGAAGTACATGTATATATATATATATGGTCGGCATATATAGCGTCCGTAGATGCGTGTATTAACTTTCTTGATTGTGAGCGCTATCACAGAGGTTGGTATATATATTGATACAGAGACCAATCCGGATAGGGTATCATCAACATATCCGGGGTGGGGGCGGGAACTAACAAATACCCCGCTAAAAGAGAATGGAAAGTGGGGGAACATGTGAGCTTTTAGAGGGTCCCTGAACTATAATTGCTTGTGATACCGTAAGTAGGTCAGTTCTATAAATAACTAAGTTGTTTAAAAACCGCCCAGGCCTCCATACACACTGTGTGTACATTCAGCCGTCAGCTGATCAGCTTCGTTCTGTATGTCAGGGTTACGCACAAGCACGTACGATCACCGAGTTAGTGTTGCTCAGTAAGCCCATCACATGTTATACACCGAAATGTTTCCAACAATGGTACCAACATGACCTCTCCGGGACTCAAACGATGACTGCAGCCAGAACCGAGTTCGACCGCAGTTCGACGACTTCTCGGGGAGACGAGCTAAGTATTGGTACGGCGTAGTATACATACTTCTAGTTTCATAACACTGTTTGTTTACATCAGTGCACAGGGGTCTAGCTCGATCGTCTAAGTAGGACCATCTTTAGTTACCTCCAGTGTGACCATGCAGTGACCAGTGTCTGATGGGTACTGCGCTTGTGAACGTCACTTGACTCACCTATGAGACGATATAGCTAATGCTGTTTCCGACAGGTGGAGCGGACACTATGGAGCCGTGGAGGGCAGTCGCGAAGAGCAAGTACTGGTTTCAACTAACTGTTACACATATATGTTTTCATATTTTTGTATCAATCTACTTAATATTTATATATATATATTATTGATTGTTTCTATTCTACCCC